AATTAAAAAATAGCATACACAGAGCCATTCATTCAATTGAAATAGTTAAATATCACAAAGAAAAAAAACATTAATTTAAGCTCCATTGGAAACTGCAAAAACAGTATTTGTTAAACCATACAAGAAAAAGAAAATGTATTTAAATATTTCATTTCAATACTTTTTAAAACATTAAGAAAGAAAATGCTAGGGAGGTGATGTATTAAGCTAATTGGAAATACTCTACAAACTTACATGTTGGTTCCTCATTCTTGTATAAATGGATCATCCCAGGGCAGCAGATACTGTTCACACTGTGTTTAGATGTGAACCTAGACAAAACCAGGATCGATTTTCTCTTTCACACTGTTACTTGTTCATTAAATCAGCCTTTCCAAGAAAGGTTGAAGGTCATAGCATCTTGAAGAGTCTATCTTTGCCTCCTCTGCTTCTCTTGTCACCCAGTTCTCTCTTTCTCCTTTCTCATTCTTCCCTGTATCTGCATGAATACAGCACCCACACTGAGCCCTTGGGGATGAATGAAGTGCAAGAATGAAGTGGATCCAAACCTGGATCTCGACCCTGTGGCTGCCTCTTCCTGGGCATGCCCACCCTCCTCCACAGCAAGTGGAGATGACACAGCACTGCCAGAGCAGTTTGAGCTCCTGGAAAAAACAGATGGGCTTGCTGCATGCAAGAAGGCACTGGCCTGGGATCCAAGGGGATGGGAGGGTGAGGCTGAGACCCACTTCACTGGAATTTTGGGTGCACAGATTTGATAGAAGGCAGAAGAGTAGTAGGGTTAGCCTGCAGCGCATGGTGGAATATGGAGTTGTGTCATCAGGGGCAGTGGGAAGGCCGGGTGTACATGAGCATTAAGGTACCAGAGGCAATTAGGATAACTTAAATGGATGGAGAATTGCTGAATTTTCATTTATTTCAAACATATATAACTAGATGTATTATTTCTGAAGTGGAATCTTTTTTTTTGGAAAAGAACTAAATAGAATTTTCTTATTTTTACTTACGTTTTAAACCGAGTCTTGCTTCAGTGCTCCATGTTAAGGTGACAGCTGGAGAGCATTGGCAGTCTTGCATTAGGAGGAGCTCTGCTTTTTATATAACTTCCTTGGATACTTTAAGCACGTTTTTTTCATGACCACATCTGATTAATGCTGCCAATCTAATTCAGGCTTTCCAAACTCTTATTTTGATTACTGGATGGACAGGTGTACTGTCAGGATTACTTGTATGACTATAGAGAGGTGCAGTTGAGGAATTATTCCTATAGTGGTTTAAAGAATGAGTGAACTTTTTCAATGAGTAAATATGTAGTATGGAGAGAGTAATGTGTTTTGGGAGAAGGGTACATAAAAATCTGCTCAGGTTGAGTTTGGTCTTCACTCCAAATAGCCATAAAATTGAAATGTTAATCAGAAAAGTTACTAGCACTGCCAGTTGGATGTTCTGCGGGTTTGGTACTCTAACTTCATTAACTGTCTACACTAATTTCTAAACAAACAGCCTCAGTCCAGCTGTCCTCTTTGGGTATGTCTGCATGACAAAGGCATTAGTTSATGGTGGCAACATGATGTAAACTCTCCCAGGATTCCTGGCAAGTATTCCAGGGTTGCTACTGAGTGCTAAAACTCGCATTGTTTATCTTGACTGTAGAGTTGCCTGGGCCTGCTGGATTAGACTGATGTAAATACACGGGGTGGCTCGCACTCAGTTTTACTGTGTCTCTGTAGCTCTGCCCTGCAACTGCAGCTGCTTTTTGATAGATTCTTTGTTTGTGCTGCTTTCTATACTTGCTATATTTGGATTCAAGGCAGGAGACAGAAGTACATGTTTTTGGAATCAAATTTGGAAAGCACTTCTAACAGATGTTGATAATTGTATGGCACTTTTGGCACTGCTAGACAAAAGGATGAACACAGCTGGTTGAACTGTATTTATTGAAAATAAAATGCTGTGAAAAGTTCTACTCATTTTAGTACMGTGATTAGGCTGGGACAATGCAGAAGTATTTGAATAAAAAAAAATTGAAATTTTGTGTGTCAATTGTAAAATACTGTTTTGGAGTTCAGAAATAATCTAAATTGACTGCCAGTCATACTGCCRCAGTTCATTGCTTTTATCTTTCCTGACTTTTTCACCCCTTTATCTCCAGTTAGATTCTTATTGCAAATGTATTTGGAGCACAGAGATGACCTTCAGTAACCCTCCCAAATGCATATACCTTCATCTTTGTATAAAATTAAATGTTGCCTGCTGTTTCAGTATTGTATCTCACATTCCACAGATCCTTGTATGGATCCTGAAATCCTTGTATCTTGGCAATATTTATCCTTTGGAGTAGAGTTTTGAGTTGTTCACTGCTTTGCTTTTACTTTCAGTGTATTTCCASGTTGAACCCATTAATTGTATGTATTGAACACCTGTCCTGTTTCAGATCCCTGAGGTACCCAGCTCTTAACTTCTCTCTACTTGGAGAAGCAGCCATTAATTACCACCCTTTGTTTCCTCTCACTTAGCTAATTTTTAATCCACAACAAGAATTTACCTCTTACCCGTGGTTATTTATTTTCCTTAATAGTTTCTTGTCAAGTATCTTATCACAGGCTTTTGTCAAGCCAAGTAAGTTATATCTGCCCAATCTCCACCATTCTCCCCATTTCATTAACAATGTCCAACAATTCCAATAAGGCAGGGGCAGTTTTCCCATCAGGGAGGTCCAGCTTTATCAATGTGTGTTTCTATGCTATCAGCTTCTCTACAGCTGAATGGAGACATCATGTCCGCAATATTTTTTTTTTATTTTTTTTTTATTTTTTTTT